TGGGGGAGTCCCTGCGGCTCCTCTGCCGCGCCTCCGGCTTCACCTTCGGCAGCTACGGAATGGGCTGGATGCGCCAGAGCCCCGGGAAGGGGCTGGAATGGGTCGCTGGGATCCAGAGTGGTGGTGGCACCAGCTACGCGCCGTCGGTGCAGGGCCGGTTCAGCATCCCCAGGGACAACGGGCAGAGCTCGGTGACGCTGCAGATGAACAACCTCAGGGACGAGGATTCCGACACCTATTTCTGTGGCAGAAGTGTTGATGCTCGTTGGGGTGGTGCTAATGGTATCGACGCCCTTGGCGGGGTCCCCACCTGTCCCCAAACCCCAGACCCTCCCCCCAAACCTCCACCCTTCGCACCCAAATCACAACCATTGACCCAAATCTCCACTGTTGACCCCAAACGTCAACTGTTGACTGAAATCTCAACCCCTGACCCCAAATCTCAACTGTCGACTCCAACTCTTGGCCATTGATCCCAAATCTCTGCCCCCAATATTGACCCTTTCCCAAAAGCCTTGGCCAATGCTGGGTTTGGGCCAATGCTTTGGGTCAAGGCTTGAGGTTTGGGGTCAATGGTTGAGGATTGGGGCAAAACCAGCCCAAGGTGGGGACCAGAACCAAGAGCTGGGTCTGAAGGGTGAAGGTTTGGGATGCGGGTCTGGGGTTTGGGGACAGGTGGGGACCCCGACAACGGGGTTGGTAGAACCATCACCATAACCAGCCCAACCACCACCAGTGTAACCCCTGGCGCAGAAATAGGTGTCGGAATCCTCGTCCCTGAGGTTGTTCATCTGCAGCGTCACCGAGCTCTGCCCGTTGTCCCGGGAGATCGTGAACCGGCCCTTCACCGACGGCGCGTAGTAGGTGCCGGAACCAGTGCTGTAGATCCCAGCGACCCACTCCAGCCCCTTCCCGGGGCTCTGGCGCACCCAGTTCATGGTGTAGCTGCTGAAGGTGAAGCCGGAGGTGCAGTGGCTCCAACATGGCCTCCACCTTCCTCCCGCTCCTCCTCCTCCTCGCCGCCCTCCCAGGTAGGTCCCGGCGCCTCTGACCCTCCAACCCAATGCCAAAAAATCCCTGGGATCCCCTGGCTCATCCCGATATTCCCTTTTCTCCCCCCGCAGGGCTGCGGGCGGCCGTGACCCTGGTGGAGTCCGGGGGCACCTCAAGGCCCCGGGGGAGTCCCTGCGGCTCCTCTGCCGCGCCTCCGGCTTCACCTTCAGCAACCACGACATGCAGTGGGTGCGCCAGAGCCCCGGGAAGGGGCTGGAATACGTCGCTGGGATCAGCTTCACTGGTGGTAGCACCTACTACGCGCCGGCAGTGAAGGGCCGGTTCACCATCAGCAGGGACAACGGGCAGGGCACAGTCACACTGCAGATGAACAACCTCAGGGACGAGGATTCCGCCACCTATTTCTGCACCAGGGGTGATGATAATGCTGCCTATGGTAGCGGGGGTCTTACCGACCCCCTTGGTGGGGTCCCCACCATTCCCCAAACCCCAGACCCTCCCCCACCCCCCGACTGTTGCCCCCAGCTCTTGCCCCTTTGTCCCAAGTCCCTGCTCCTTGGGCACCAAATCTCAGCCATTGATCCGAAATCTCAACCATTGACCCCAAATCTCTGCCCTCTGCCCAAAATCTCGACTCTTTCCCAAAAGATTTGGGCAGTGCTGGGTTTGGGCCAATTGGTGGCTCAGTGGTTGAGATTTGGGGTCAATGGTCGCGATTTGGGTAAACAGTCGAAGTTTGGGGTCAACGGTTGAGATTTTAGGTCAACGTTTGCGATGTGGGGTCAACAGTCAAAATTTGGGATCAACGGTTGAGATTTGGGTCCAAAGCATGGAGGTTTGGGGTTGAGGGTCTGGGGTTTGGGGACAGGTGGGGACCCTGCCAAAGGCGTCGATACCTTCAGCAGCACCACCAGCACCAGCACCTTTGGCGCAGAAATAGGTGTCGGAATCCTCGTCCCTGAGGTTGTTCATCTGCAGCGTCACCGAGCTCTGCCCGTTGTCCCTGGGGATGCTGAACCGGCCCTGCACCGACGGCGCGTAGTAGGTGCTGGAACCATCATTGTAGATCCCAGCGACCCATTCCAGCCCCTTCCCGGGGCTCTGGCGCACCCACTGCATGTCGTGGTTGCTGAAGGTGAAGCCGGAGGCGCGGCAGAGGAGCCGCAGGGACTCCCCCGGGGCCTTGAGGTCACCCCCGGACTCCACCAGGGTCACGGCCGCCCGCAGCCCTGCGGGGGGGGAAAAAAGGGAATATCGGGATAAGCTGGGTGATCCTGGGGATTGTTTGGCATTGGGGTGGAGGGTCGGAGGTGCCGGGACCTACCTGGGAGGGCGGCGAGGAGGAGGAGGAGCGGGAGGAAGGTGGAGGCCATGTCGGAACTGCCGCACCTCCAGCTTCACCTTCGGCAGCTTCACCATGAACTGGGTGCGCCAGAGCCCCGGGAAGGGGCTGGAATGGGTCGATGGGATCTGGAGCGATGGTTCCAGCACCTGGTAAGCGCCGTCGGTGCAGGGCCGGTTCAGCATCCCCAGGGACAACGGGCAGAGCTCGGTGACGCTGCAGATGAACAACCTCAGGGATTCCGACACCTATTTCTGCGCCAAAAGTGGTTATTTTGGTGGTGATTTTACTCGTGGTATCGACGCCCTTGGCAGGGTCCCCACATGTCCCCAAATCCCAGACCCTCCCCCCAAACCTCCACCCTTCACACCCAGCTCTCGGTCGTTGGTCCC